ATTTTTTTTATTGTCTCCGTGATCCATGACAGGATATTATGAGGCGAAAAAATTACGACTGAAACGAGGCGTGGAGATAATCGCATTATATTCATATCATAAAAAACGATCATAATCAAAAGATATGTTTGGATTTTATTGAATCAAATTTCTCAATTTAGAATTTACTATTTGCATACCGAAAGATTAATTTGATTACGAAAGTTTGCGTCTACAGAGTCAAAGTATTCCTCATCGAGATGATGAAACAATTTATATATTATATAAAAATCTATATTATAAAATATATATTATAAAAAAATTTATATATTATATGATACTGTCGTATCATAAAAGTTGATATAACAAATAATTTAAAAAGAATAAACAAAAATATCAACATATAAAATATATACATGATGAATTTCGATGAAAAACTCCTAAAAAATAATGTAAAAACTCTTGAAAAATAACTTTTATCGCATGTTGTATATTAAATTAATTAATATTGTATAAATTACCACGATAGATCACGCAATGTCAAATTTTTCATTAGCATATATAACAATTGGCATTCTCCGCGGCTATACGATATTCGAACCGTATAATTAAATCTGAAGCGTGGAGGCTAATTACAATGGCCCTTCGCAAATACGTCGCTCATTACGATTTAGTAATTGTTCCGGCGCGTAATAACGCTGGTATCTGTACAGTATTATTGTTCGGTGGGGTGTTATTGCCTGAAACGCGTATAACATAATTACTCTAACGCAATTAGGAGTGCCGCACATTGGTCTGCTTCTTGTCTCTGAAAACGGACCGCTCTCTCGACACAGAGATTGGATTAACGAATATTATGGGCTAGGCTCAAACTTTGAAAATCGATACCACTATCAACCGCGATTGTTAAATTCTGTGCAATCATAATTATGGATTTTTAAAAAGTAGATTGAAACACAGATTTGTTAAAAATAAAATTTTGCATTTATAAAACTTATAATACCTATGATATATAAATAAATAAATAAAGATATATTTGTGAAATACATATTTATTTTCATAAATGCATTTGTTATTTATTTGTGTAAATATTACAAATGTATATTATTTTACATGTATCTCCCCCTGAAAAATTAAAATAGATTAAATATAATTATTATTATATATAATCGTCTAAAGATTGATCTAAACGGGCTCAATTTCTTGAAATCTGCAAATGAAAATTACAAGATCATTGATATAATTGATATTTTTTTTACTTATTAAAACTAATTAATTGTTCACACAGCATTCACTACATTGCAGAGAAATAAGGAATGAGATCAAAAATAATTTATTCCAGATTCAGCGTCTGTCAAAATAAGAAAGAAAATATAGAAAATATATATTATATAATAATTCAAATTCCGAGATCAACATCATGATAAAACATATATTCTTTCCGCAGATAATAAGTTCTGTATAATAAAGAATTCTTTTTAAAAAATTTGATTTGATCTAATTCTCTGCGATACTCTTCCTTCTTATTCGAATCAATTTTTAATATGATTTTTCTTTTTTATGATTTTATGATTAAGATATTTGACCTCGCAATTTGAAACACTCAAATTATAAATTATAAATAACCACAATTAAAAAGCGTGAAATAAAAAGACTTGTTATTGCAGCAAATATACTTCATAGAATGTTGCATGCATCCTACAAAGGTATATGGCGTGCGTTAAGTCCTACAAGGATACATTTACGGGTAAAGTATTAGGTGACGATTATGCAAGTATTCCTTTCAGTTTTAAGGTTTCTGGCTAGGATCTCTTCATACTCGGGCGACTTACAACTGTCAGACCGCAAGATTGATATGAGAACACCAGTTTCCGCTATTGCTAAAATGCAGCCCTAAAATATCATAAGGCGTACGTGCACGTGTACGAAAACCGCAAAGTCAAAATAAACTGCATGTATTAACTTCTTTCATGTGGAGCATCGGCTTTACATATGATATTCTGCAAGACGGGACTACTGTCCAAGCGATAGAGACCAAATAAGGGAAATGACAATTGTTGGAATATCAAAACGCTAATTACTTTAATAAATAATTACAATTTAGACTTTATAAAAATATTTCATCTAGAAAGTTAAAAATTCTAAATAAGATGATGTATTTATATAATTAATCTTCGTCAGAGAACATCTCTTCTGAGATATCATATAATTCTGAAAAAAAATTTTAAGATTATATAACAATAAGTGAATTTAAATACACAGCTGGCATAGATAAATTTGCAAAGCCAAGTTACTACACAGAAAATCATATAATGTAAATTTATAACATTTTTATCAAATTTTTGTAATGCTGCTAAATCTTCAACTGAAAAAAAAAATAGATACATGATAGTTCAATAAAATATATGAATGTGGATATTGTTAGTGACTGTTTTAGAAATTCCTTACTTAACGGATAACGAAGAACGGAATCATTCGCAAGTCAATCCAATTGGACAGACTCAAAAGCGAACAGCGACAGGCAAATACAAGCGATCGGTTATCGAAGCGATTAAATGTATATATCGTATCTGTCTCTCTATCGGCCATGCAAATATGCGCAGGTAAACTCGGAAGCCACGCTTTCCAACAAGGAAACACCAACCACGTCAACGTGGCCCGCGTGGCGAGCGTTCGTATGCACAACCGGCACCGTCCTACTCTCGTGGGAAATGCTGTCGATTATATTTGCGCCATAGCGAGCGCTATGGACGCACAAGATACACCGGAGTTCCCGGACGAACGGGAATGGTAGGTCCATCGTCCTCCTGCCGAACCTGCTGTTTGCGCCGGCACTCTAATTAATTATCCGCTGTCTCCGATAATGTAACACGAAGCGCGAAGTGCGCTCCGGCACTACGAATATCCGAGATTACGTTTCGACTAGCGCGAGCAGAAAATTTTACACTCACATAACGAATAAGTAACCTCTGTAACAAGGGAAATTTTCCGCGATCCTGTATTTCCAAATAAAAATTTCCATTTTAAAAATGATTTCGGAGTTAATACATTAGTAATTTGCAGTTAAAGTACAAGAAATTTATCCGAAAAGTACTGATTAATAAACAATATTAATATATAAATTGTTCATCACTCGTAAAATTGTCAATTGAAACATTGAGTTTCAAGTAAAAAAATTTAAAGTATCATTATAAAAATACTTAATATTAAAAAATAGGATTTTATAAATAATGTAAAAAATCAATTAAAGTACAATACATATATAGATGCGTGAAAACATACTTTTCTATTAACATAGTAAATTTATTAGATTCGCCAATATATTTAATCATAGAAATAAAAAATTTGTGAGATATGTAATAATTTTTATCTCGAAAAAATAATCTTTCGGTATAATTTCATTAATTATGAATTAATTAAATAACTTATTATTAAAGCCATTCACATTTGAATTCATTTATCTGTACAATAACAAAGTGAATATGTAATTTAAACAAAGCAAGTGTCCGTTTTAAAGCAAGATTTATTATTATAAAAAATCGATAGGGATCAAAATCAAAAGGGAATAAAATCTTCGGTAACTTCTCAGTCTTGTTTTTACTTACCAATGGCAAACGGAACGTACGAATGGAACATATGAAAGTTATATATTTGCGCTCACCCACCGAATGGACAAATATTCGTCGAGTACTATACCACTCGATAACACGGGGAGCTAATAAAAGAAGTCGCGCTGTTCCATTATCAAAGCTAAGAGCTCGTAGCTAACCGCTTGTGTGGACTTTGCAAAGTCCTTCTTATGATAGCGACAAATCAACAAATTAAAAGTTGTTTATTAATGTTAATGATTATTTACTAACAATTTCGTTATTTCTATATATATATAAAATATTCCTAATTTTAAATAATATATTTTTCATGTAAAATCAAAATTTTTACTTTTTATTTAACAAAAAAATTTGTAAGGATAGCTAATTATATTCTTTGACTAATTATTTACAGTTACATCTATCATAATATGTAATCCTCAAATCAATTTATAATTAAGCAAAGTGACTTTAAGCTAATGACTAAAAACTAATGATACATACTCGGTAGTTTACTCGAGTATAACTGAAGAACTTCGGAATGAATGAGGTGGAATAAATGGTAGGTCTGAAGTATGCACTTGATAATGTAGAAGGCTAATAGAAGAAGTCACGCAGTGCTATTGTTAATGGACAATACTGCAGATGGTTAAAACGATTTTCATCGTCCTATGCTCGCTATTCAGTGCCAGTGCGCAAAACCACTTAACGTTTCTTTGTACTGATCAATATGAATTAGTTGTTGGCAAATCAAAGTATTTTATCGCAAGAATATCGACCAGTAGTATTTCGTTATATGTTAATAATATTTAATTATATATCGAAAATGTACTCCATATCAGAGAATAAGTGTATGAATCCTTTATTTTAAATGATAAAATATTCCATAGATCCATTGTCAGCAAAATAGAGAATTTAAATAATGCAATAAGACTTCCAAATATTTTATAAAATGTATGATAGCTTTTAGTAAAAGCAAAAAAAGTTTTACTTATTCTAAAATGCCAGAAATATTTTTTTAAACATAAAGCTTTTCGAACATAAAGATTTTAATAGCAATGTTTTTAAATATATAAGCTGTCTTTCTTAATTTTTATACTATTTCTTATTTTATATTGCAAAAACAGTTTAAAGAAATGATATAGTACTAAGCAACATGCATAAAAGTTATAAATCATGCAAAAGTATTTAACCTTAATATCAAAAGAAATTTTCTATATCTTTAATAATTTTATATATTTTAAAAATCTTAATATCAATGAAAAATAAATGCTTTTAATAAAAAATATTTAAAATCAATTTTTTAATCAAAATTAAATTCATTTTTTATTTTATTTTTCAAATAAGTTATTGATATTAATGGATAAGCACAAGATATATTTACTTTTGATAAAAATAAGGTTAAAATTAAGAACTTTTAGTGTTTACCTTCATTTCAAGTTTGAGATCCTTTCCAAAATGATATAAAAGGAATTCGCAGTGAAGATTCTATTTGAATTGCTTCATGTGCTCCGATATCTATAACAATACAAATCATAAGAAATTATAATATAAACGAAGTATAAGGAAATATATATTGTTACGCCAGTGCCGAATCAACACCGTAGATCGCCACTCGTGAAGTCCTGAAAGTCGCATTGCCCAGCGACACGTGGCTCTGTTATTTAATAAGATTTGGACGCGAGCTGTCGCTACGCTCGGACGTGTCTCTCGATCCGCTTATTCTCTCATCGATCTGTCCTGTGTTCATTTCGTAATAAACTTTTTTTATTTTTTTTTATAATATTCGTGTTGTTTCTAGGAAGTATGTGAACGCGTTCTCGAAAACGTTTCCGCGAGCCGGACGCCCGGGCGTAACAATATCTAAAGTAAAATGTAAAAACTTACACAAATTGTATATTTCCTATTATTACATTGTACATTATGATATTTCATTATATAACTTTCAACATCATTGTCCCAGATTACTTTTAAATATCAATAAGAGATTCTCTTTTCATTATTCTGCAACAGAAATAAACAGAAATTTGTTAAAAATAAATCCTTTATATATAAAGTAATATAAAATAATAGAATATTAATTTACATGAATTATATATATAATACATAATTTTCATCCATCTTTTCCTTTTGATTGTTATTGATAATTAGCACTAAAAAATTGTATAACTAAGTTTTTTTTTAGGCTCTTAAAATTTTTAACGTACAGAATTTGTTATATTAAAAAATTTCCATCTTTATTAAATATCAGGTTCAATTTTTTTGAATTCCTTGAATTCATAATTTATACTAAAATCAAAGATATCATCATGTTTCTGAAGATTTCAATCTGCAACAATTTTCGAAATTCATATTCACCAATCAAAAAACTTTTGTTTATAACAATCAAAGGATTCTAATATAATTTAATAAGGCATAATTTTCTTATTTTTTATATAATTATATAACTAAACATTCCATTTATCTACACATATAAAGTACTTTGCACAGTTATTACATGCCAAGTTTTTTATTATTTAACAATCTAAATAATAAAAATACATAACGATATATATTGTATTATCTTAACTAAATTTTTGTTTCCGATATTTCTCACATATAAAGTACGTTATTTAAAAACCTTCGTCAAATTCGCAGTCAAAGATGTTTAACACAAATTTCATTTGCAAATTGTATGCAAGCAAAGTACTCATCATTTAATAGTTCCACGATTCAACTAACATGAATAATCGACACTATAGACACATACAACTTGCGAATTCGGCAGTTAAAGCTTGTCTTGTGTAACAATTACGCTGAATTACGCGAAATTTGTACATTCAATTATATGTCGAACGTACCAAACGATGTTAAAAACGCCGCACGAACTCAGACGTCACGCCATTTGCAAATAACGGTCGAGTCATGTGACCACGATCTGCCTATACGGAAGCACCAAGACGATTCCATAGATTTTGAACGCAGCGGTCGATGAAATGCTGTTGGAGACCTTCTGTGCCGAATATAACGATTAATCATGCTTATATATATGACACGTACGATTATACCAAGCAATGATCGCGTCTTCGTGGTATCTCAAGTAAAATGGCGGGTGCTTGTTCGCAAGCGCGCAAACAATCATCCAAACGGTTCGGTATATTTGCGATATTCGCGTCTATCAGCCGATTGCGGGCAACGCTTGCATCGCGATAAACGTCTGATACGGCGCGGAAGACGTTTATAATCATTTCTGATGCGCGAGATTCGCTCTTGAACGGTAACGAACGTGAAAAACACGGAGCAACGCAAACACAACTCATCCATTTGTCGCGACGCGGCCATGACTGACTGCGAGTGGCGCGAAACCACCGAGCTACGACGTCTGTGATTGGTGGACGTCCGAACGATGAACCAATTACGTCGCGACAATTAAATCTAGTCACTTTCGTTTCGCGCCTTTTTGAGTTACATGGAAGATGAAGTTTTATTCAATTTTTGAAAGCAGAAAGGAGGCAAGGGAAATAAAAGTAGAAAATGCAACGAATATTGCAGCAAAAGTTATTTAATATAGAAATTAAATTCGAGATGTTTCTTAACAATTGCTGAAATATCGGATATTCGAATTGTTCACGAACTATGATTGACACGCAATGGTTGTATCTTTCAACGTGAAAGAAAATATTCTTATAAAGCAACAGATATCTAATTTTTAAGTGTATTATATAATAAAATATTGGAATATTCTATTAGAATAATTTTAATAATAATTGTAAAGAATAATTATCTAATATAATCATACAGAATAGGTATTTTAATATCCTATTATTATTTATATTAGAATGAATACTAGAATATTAGAATATAATTTTTATTAAAAATGAGAATATGAGAGAAAGAAACAATTATATCGAGGCATCCTTTTGAAGCAAAAAGATTTGGAATAAAACTTCATCGCTTACATAAAATATATTGTTATTATTCTGAAAAAATATATCAGCTAACATCATTATTAAATTCAGCAGTCGTTTCGAATATATCGCCACTCCTTTTGAGCCAAGAAGACCCTATACGATCAATAATACTGATTAGAGTAATGTTGAATAATAATACTGAATACATACGACAGTATGTCAATATTTTCAATATTCTTACAACCTTATACGATCTGTATTATTGACAATATATTTCACGTTAGTTTTACATACTATATCTATTGCATTGTGACACACTGTGATATGGATCCTAATAAAACGATACTGATGCTCGAGAATCAAAATCCAAATGGACTGGATCACTGGTCAGTATTCTACGTCAATCCATCAATATTAACCGCACACAATCAGTCATTGTCAGAATTTGTTAATACTAACAGTATTATTGACCGTGTAGGATCACTTTTATACGCGTTAATAACATACATATTTTATGCGATCTCTATATAAGCATTTAGGAATATTTCTTACCATTAATTGCCAAGATACATTATGTATTAAAAGATACATTATGTATGGAATTTACACGAGACTACATTATGAAAGATTCAACATTAAAACATTGCCAATCTGCGATATATATATGCATATATATTTTATATATTTTATATATATAGCTATGTATCTGTTATATATATAACTCAATATTTAAATATTTATTTTCCATTTCTCCATTTTTTTACCTTAATTAAATCAAACATCAAAGAGATTAAGAAGATTACTTACATAACTAAATTCAGTTTAAAATGACGCATAATATAAAACCTTTCGCGTAATATTTCTCGCAGAGATTTATAATTGTATTTACTGTAATTCGTTTATTTACAGTGAATCATAACTTTGATAGCTCCACCTGCTCCAGTTCTACAGGTCTCAAATGCTTGCTTGGTTTCCTCTAGCTTGTAATTATGAGTGACCAACGACTTCACGTCTATCTTGCCAGACGAAATAAGGTCCAATGCATCGCCATAGCTGTAATGTGAAAAGAAAAGAAGATTATACAGAATAATCTTCTATGAAGCGCAAGATAATTAAGATAATTTATCTATGTGAAGACTATAAATAAATTAAAAATTAGAAGAACTCCTTGAGAAGCTATTCTGTACATGTCTACCAATTTTTTTGCCATACAAAATATTTGTGCAACGATATATAACAATATTGACAACTATCAGTGTGTCACTAAACGTGTATAAAATAGGAATCCTGATTTTTTTTAGAATCATGATCTATTTCTCTTAATAATTAAATTGGTAAATTATCCTCACATTTAATTTAACACGAAGTATTAATATGTACTTTTCCTGTTTAACATATAATTTGACTAATCGAAACTTACTCATTTACGTATCGGAAAACACCTCTGATGTCAACTTCTCTTATTAAAGCGTTTATTAGTGGAATTTGTACTTCTGGAGCACCCATTCCCACTAACACAATGACTCCACCAGATTTGGTTGCCTAATGTACAATACAAATACGATTTATAATCTAATTATTAGGTGTTGGAATTAATTCGTAGCGTTTTTAATGAAAGAATGTTATTTATTTCACATGAGCATTAAAAAATACATTAATGAAAGTACTTCCCATCACTTGTAAAACGCTACGAATTAATTCCAACACCTAATACTTTAGATTGTCAACTAATCTTTAAATAATCTAATTAATATAAATAGTTTAATTTAAAATAAGGATATATTTTGTAGCTTACAAGAATCGCTAAACGAATCGAGGATTGTGCGCCGGATGCATCTATCGTTCTGTTAGGTTCACCCTCAAAAATTGCATGAATATCAGTCACTGTATCCTCCTCCGATCTATCCTTTTGCACCAGATACGTGACGTCGGCGCCAAGTTTCTTCGCTATGTTCAGTCTACTTTGCAAGATATCTATAAACACAAATCGCGCCTACTTACATCTCATTTATAAGTTGTATAGGCTTGCATTTAGAATTCTTCAAAAGAGGACTTGTGCTACTTGTAAAACGTGCTTTGTGTTATCTACAAAAGAATGGAAATATATATTACGAAGAAAGATGTAGTATCCTTGAAAAAACAGCGCTTTACGTATCAATGCGTAGTTCAAATTTGCAATAGAAAAATAACTACTTGATGACACACGATACTTTGTAACTGCGTGACCTCGACGATATACTTTCTTGTTCCATAGGTAGTATCTATCATGCTAAATGCTTCAGCGAAGCCTTATCTCGCGATCGACATTGCAACATCATTATTACACCATATCTCCAATGTAGATGTTTTTCTCTCATTCGCAATTACGTAAATGCATTATATAACTTGATCAACTATTTATGTCGCTTCACAAACAAATTTACGATAAATTATACATCAAAAATTTTGTTATCATGACGTTACAAATGCAATCGCTACAGAATTTTCCATTAAGTGACAACGTGTATCATTTTATATAAGAAGTTTCCTTTACTTCTCAATAAAAAAATACTAAAATGTTATTTTGATACATAATATAAATCAGCAAAAAATTTTTTAAAAAATGACTGAATTTTGATATCGCAATTAACTTCATAAAACGCTAAAAAGCTAATAACGAAGTTTTCTTTTACTGAGTCAAAATAAAACTTTGTCGTGCTATTTCATTTATATCATGATAATAAACAAATTCGGCAATTATACTAAATTATATCAAATACAGTTTTGTGATTGATATATGACATTTTAAGATTACTTAAATGATAAATATAAGAACCGATTATGAATATCAGTCTACAAATCTATTTTTTGAATTGCGATGACTTTAACGAAATTACGAGCAATCAAAGACAAAATGCTTCTTTTATATAATTCGCAATAACTTAGTAATAAAAAATCTTAGAAACATTTTTAAAAAACGATTATGTAGAGAAAACTTTTACGTTAGAAAGTCGAAAATTTTCACAAAATTTTTTTTATACGTAATAAACTCACAAAGTGAGAAGAAAATTTCCCATTTTGTTTAGTTCGTAATTTTCTATACGTAAATATTATCAAACTCATAAAAACTAAAAAGACATGAGTTTTCAAAAGAGATTTTTTTAAGCTTTAAAATCCTTTTTTAAATTTAAATTTCGTTGTTTAACGATATTATAAATTGTTTGAATTCGTAGTGCTACGAACTTTATTCCAACCTTACTATACTTCCTTATGAAATAATATTATCTCACACTTTTTATATATACTTCTTTATAATGATCATTTGAATAAAGATAAAGAACTGTTGACTGAAGATAAAGAAAATCATTAAAACGTAGATTAAAGTATTTGTTTCTTTTGTTTCAAGTTTTATCTTTTAACACATACCTGTGATAACTATTTTCTTCGCACCCATGGCTTTGGCTACCAGCAAGGTCACCAAACCAATCGGACCAGCTCCCAGAATTAATACTTTAGAACTGATTCCGACCTCGCCCCGTTTACAAGCGTGTACTCCTACCGATAATGGCTCTAAAAGCGCTCCTTCTTCTAAGCTTATATGATCGGGCAATCTATTATAAAAAAATCATAAATACAGAAATTAATTTTCTTTCCATCTGCGACGACATATTTTATCAATTTGTTTCATTTTGAATTCAAAAAGAGTTTCCTATCCAATAAACACCCAATAAACTAATAGTAATATAACATCAATGTTATAATTTCCTATTCAACAATGTAATTGTTAACAATGTTACGTATAATATATACTATTACTTTGTTGGTCAGGAAATTATAATATTAATGTGATATTGCTATTAGTAATTATTACTGGATAGCTATCTTGCATTTACATCATTGTTTGCACTGTCAGTTTTAATGTAATTATATGTAAGTATAATCAACTATTATATGCAATCAATTATGTTTACTTGAAACAGAAATCAGCTGCATGTTTGTAGAAACGTCTTAAGTTGCCGTGCACAGGCGGAGTTGCACAAAAGACAACATCTTTGCACAGATTATAACGTCCCTCTTTACAATGTGAACATATCCTGCAAGGCACGCCAGGTTCAATAGCAACGCGATCACCGATCTATAAAAAATAAAAAACAAGAAAATGCTAAGAATATATTTTATAAAAGAATAACCATTCTTCAATATTAATATTAGTTCAAAAATAACGATAAAATCATGGGTACATTAAAATTTTTTAGAGAGAAGGAAAGTTTTATCAATTCTATTATTACATAAACAGCAATTTTTTGTGTTAATGAATTGTTCTTTTGAATACTGTAGAGATTAAAATTGCGTTTTTTGATATTTTAAGACTTCACCTGGTTCCTGATTTTGAATAGGAAAAATATTAAATTTTGTAAATCATAATTTTTTTCTCCTAAAGAAAGTGTAAGTAAAATATACTTATTACAAACAAATTGTGAATGTCATTAATCTCGATACTATTCTGTTTTTCGGTTTAAAAACTTTGTCAGAAATTTTTTCTTCTGTATCGAACATCCTACTAAAGCTCCATTTAAAGTCCCAGAAATTATTTACATGGCCATAACGAAAGCAAAAAATATTTTGTTACAATAAAATATTTACTCAGAATCGAGAGAAAAACTATATTTTTTGTAATTAATAAAAATGAAAAAATTAATAAAAAATTTCAGAGCGAAATTGAATCCTCAAATCCCTCCTGCATATATATTTATGGATAAAGTAAACACATACATATATATATATATTATATATATATATATATATATGTGTATGATATACCTTTAAATTCATAACATTTTTTCCAAGTTTGGCAACAGTTCCAGAGGACTCATGACCAAGGATCATAGGTTTCTTCACTATGAAATCGCCAATTCTGCCATTGACAAGATAATGAATGTCCGACCCACAGATTCCTACGCATCCCATTTCAAGAAGCACCTCTATAGAAAATTACAATATTTTTTTATTATGATATATTTCCAACTTACTAAAATATAAAAAAAAACATCTAGCTTTTAAATTCTTTTTCCAAATTGTCAGTATTATGATAAATTTAATTGATCTCAAAACATACTTTTAAGTTTCTTTATCTCACTTCATAATTTTAGTTTGTTTTTGTTCATCAAAAGATTAATATCGAAAATTTAAGATTATTATAAATTTTTCCAACTTATTAAGATGAAAATATACGTACAAAACGCTCAACAGTTTTAAATTGAAATTAATCTTCTTAATTTATCAGTATGTATCTGGAACAGCATTGCGTATAATACTTCGACAAGCGTCATCGCATGTATTAATAGATGTCGATGTAAATTGATTCACAACAAAGTGTTACGCAATCGGATAAAAAATCCTTCTTTTACATTTTCAATATAAACTGAGTTTTTACGGAACTTTCCTCTCTAATAAAAAATAATATTATCTAATAATGTTGATTAATTCACTAATACTTTTTTTTATTAAGAACAGTATCATTTATTAATTATATTTCTCAATAATACATTTCTTAATAATACACATTATTGGAATTTTTTGGTGATGTTTTTTATCAAGGCTAATTAAAAAATAGTAAATATTGATTGATAAAAAAAGCATATCTTACCATTGTCTTCTGGTTCCTCGATACTCGTGTTTTCCTAAAACAGGAAAAATTATCCATATCTAAATCACAAATATATTTGAACGACATTGCAAAAAATCACTGCGCACACAATAATAATAAAATAATTTATAAAATTTGACATTCTAGAAGTTGACATAGAATAGTCTGTTATTTCAATTTTGCATTTATCTTTTATGAAATAAAAATACTGAATAGCAAGAAAAAGTTAACAAAATTCCATAATGTGGCAAAAAGAAGTTGTTTAATGCAGATACTTAAATGATTTAAAAGGTCAATCCGTTAATACGGAGAGACATCTACAATCGATTTATAAAGCAACTACAGTCTTACGTGAAGTTATATTTAAGAATCAGGATCAACAAGTGATTATAAAAATAATAATCTGAATATATATATATATATATATATATATATATATTCAGATTATTATTTTATATATATATATTTTAACAAATTTGAATTATGCTAGTAAAAAAATTTATAATCTTATATTTACTATATCGTATTAAATAAGAAAAAAAATTGTTTGCAGTTTTTGTTTTCTCAAGAAAAAGTTTTTTTTTTTACTCTTTGTGTTATACTTTTACATAAAAAATTGGTGAATTGAAAAAATTGATAAAGATTTATTTTTATAAAATTACTAGTTTTTTATTTTCAAAATACAAAATTTTCTTATAGAAAAATGTAATTTTTTATATTACTTTTTTATTTGCATAAAACAAAATTAAAGAGAAATGACAAGAATAGCACATTAATCTGTTCTTAATTTTTAAAATTCAGTGTTATTAATAAAAAAAAGATATTCTTTGTTATTTGTTTCAAAAAAAAAAACGTAAATTAAAAACTGATTTATGTAGTGTTTCAAAGGATAAATACATCTATAAGAACGAATATAATGTATACTTTTATTTTTTAATTTTCCCTTAAAAACATAATAATTTCATAATCCTAAAATCTGTAAAATATGTGATAAACTAAGCCATCTATGCAGAATACGATTTAAGAACAGCTTTTAGTATCATTATTTCAGAAATTATTTTACACTTTACTTGATATATCAGACATACATTTCAGTTTGCCGCATATTTTACAGATTTCAAGACTACGAAATTATTCTGTTTGTACGGATTTAAAAAATAAATATGTATCAATGTATGTAAAAATTTATTGCATATCATTTCATTTGACGTCGTACAATACGGCGCCTCGAGATAGTCGAGCCTTAATTTGATAACTAAAGAAAAATCAGATATAACATATTATTATAATTTACTATATTAAAAAAAATTGTAGTACGTAAATGCGCTAACTCGGCTAACCGATTATATTAAACTGATTATATTAAACAAATTATAAATTTTTCATTTTCTTTACAACAGTTGGTAAAATATAATTTATTTTTTAATTATATTTTTATTTTTTAATTATATTTTGAGTCTTACTTGATCCTTTTATTTTTGTCTATTAAGTATAAATTAGGCTAATAAAAGTTTGTAGATTAATCGAAATAATAAGAGTGTATTCGATTCGAATATGAGCAAGCGCAGTTGTGCAAGTTCAATATGCTTCCGCAACGTGGTACTAACCAGGCGTAAATCGTTGATGCCATACAGTATAGCAGAGAGATTGTCCTTAGCCATGATTTTTCAACGGAAATTCGAAACAAGTTTAGTCTTCAGCCGTGATCCGCTTGTGCCAAGTCGCTTCTGAATATCTTGATAAGCACAACGCACGAAGGACTCGTTCGACGTTCAAGAGAGAACTTGCTGCTATATATACACGCGTCGCATTTATACGTATGTACTTGGAGTTATCAATGTGGCCTTATTATCGCCTGCTAGACTTTATTTCGCCACCACCACTCTCAACATTCTTCACGGCGCGAACTTATTGAACAGTCCAATTTGTTCATATATTTCACAACTGCACCATCAACCGTTGACAATGCCGTCACAGAAACACATTGTTCGGAACAAATCGATTTATACCGTATATGCAGTCCTACTTTTCCTTCTTATTATCAATCGGCCGTATGTCCAGCTCGCGTGTTGTATTTTGTATTAAGACAGCGAAATGTGTAATAGAGGAGACAAAACAAAATACATAAAACAAAATACCCTCTCTTGATGATGTACCTCTACAGAGAAATGCTCCTTTCGTACTCAAGACTGAACTGTCGCTTTTTTAAGAACAACGAATTTTTTCCTAAGATCGGAAATTTTTATCCTATACCTATATTTAGGAAAAGTATTTCTCAAAATTCTTCGATTGGTTCGATGTTTTAAGAGAAGGGATTTCATTATACTTTTTAATTAGAAAGAACTACAAGAGAAATTTTAGAAAGTTAGAAAATAAAATTCTGAAGAAATCTGAAGAAACCTGTTATTTGTGAATATTTACTTAAGGCTGTATTCATAATCAGATTTTATATTTAGGATCGTTTTAAGTACAGTTAAGAAGATGCCATGAACCAATCAGATGGCTGTATTAGCATCTTCAGACATTACTTAAAATGGTTTTAAGATAAATCGACTATGAATACCGACACTAGAATTTAAAAATTTTAAATTTGGGTCAAATTATAATAATGAATCTGTCTATCAAAAATTGGAAAAAATCTAAACCTTTGGAATTTCTATGTTTAAATTATAAACTATCAGGATATATTTCAAATTACAAAAAGTCCTGCATTAATATTCAATTATATTGATAATACTGCTCAAGGTAAAATTGTTCATTAATAATACATAGATTTTATGTACACTCACCGACTAAAAGGTTGCAACATTTTTTTTTTTAAGGGTTTCGGAATGCAGTCTGCTCACCGAGCGATTGGTTCTTACTTATGGATCCGTAAGTAAAAACCAATCGGTGAGTAGGCTGTATTCCGAAAACCATAGTAAAAAATCTGTTGCAACCTTTTAGTCGGTGAGTGTACGTTTGATCTTAAATATTGATTCATCTAAAAAGTGTAGATGTGTGTTGATGAAAGAATGCAGTTTGCCGAGCTATTGGTTCTTACTCATGGATCCACAAATAAGAATCAATCGCTTGGCAAATCAATTTATATTGACTTATAGGGAAGAATGTTCTAAATCGAACCGTGTTCCAAATAGAACCTTTTTAATTTAAACGAATATGGTTAAGTAGATTTACATGCTATTTATAATGTAAAGTTATAAGACACCGAACATATGACAGCAGTTTGACAGTTCTCTGTCATAACGTTCATAGAATAGACGCAAATATGTATTTTTAGCTATCGTGCAAAAATTAAAAAAAAAATCTTTGTAAATCATTATTTAAGACATTAAAAATTTGAAAGGTAATTGATTTAAGATAATTATTGTCCTGACGTTTTCCAAGAAATTGACTTCCTGCTCAGTTCAAGAACTTATCGGCCAATCGAATATAGCGAGATAAAAATAAATTTGAACGAAATACTGCAATCCATTTGTCGACTTCTAAAAGCGCCTCCACGTAAAAATACCGATTGAGGACGAAAACCAGGAAAAGCAACTATTTTAATTGATGATGCTGCGATTGAAACTATTGTTATAGAGGAAGCAACGAAACAAATGCATCAACTAAAAAAAAAAAAAAAAAAAAAACCGCAAATGAGATCAAGAACTAAAAAGAACTTAAAAAGCCAAGTCAATTAATTCATCAAAGAAGGAAGACTCGCAACCTGATTGTAGTACTGGTGATCGACCGACCAGATCTGATCTAAGGAACACTAAATCAATAAAATATCATGAGTCATCAGACTCATATTAATTGAATTTTTTATTAATTTCAATTCTAATAATATAAACTGTAATTTTGTTCTGAATAAAATTTAACTATTTCTTTAACTATCAAATTGCTCGTTTTTGCTCAATACTAACAAAAATAAATTAAAATCTTATGAATTTCTATCTAACAATCCATAAAAATAGGAGGATCCGATTTGGACCAGAGGATGATCGGATTTGGAACCAATAGTTCGAAATCGGATCCGAAAACAGGTGAGAGATACGTCAAAATGATTTAAAGTAAAAATGAAAGGAATTAAATGATCTTTCCAACGGCATCTTTGGTTTTATGATCGGTTTTATGACTTTATTTACGCCTTGTAGAGAGCAAAAACTGCAAATAGATCCGATTTAAACCACTCTCCCCTATTTATTTGCAATTACATCATAATTATTATAAATACTACAAAATTACTTAATTAAAGCAATGAAGTATATGATTAGTTCTTGAAATAAAACTGCTTTCTATATTTTTGTCTTTTGTTGGATATTCGTCTTTAGAGGATTACATTTTTCTCTAATCTATTTTTAATGTATTATACTTTTTTCCTAAGATGACAAATATTCAATTTTAAAAACGCTTTTATTTCTCATAAATATATATCTACTTATCTTTATATATTAAAGTTTGAAAGGATCAGAATAATAAACAAGATTATTAAATAAATTGTTTGCATTGTGTTACATATAAAATAAAATAAAATAAAAATAATGCACAAATAATGTAGAAAAATAACTACATTCATGCATATATGTATGTATTGTGATGAAAATATTTACAAAAATATTTTGTTAATGATATATGTAATAAATGACTTACAATAATTTGTACTTTATTCCCAACCCCAAATTCCCGTCGAGTCTTTAATTGTAGCCCTATTATCTCTTCGTATCCTCGTTACTGCGCTTGCTTCTCCTTTAGCAAGTGCTCTCTTTGCTTGACTTCTCTCGCGTTTGTCAAGTGCTAACTTCGTTCTCTTTTTTATCACATCTGGTGCAATTGTAGCAGCTGTTGAAACACTTCGTATACTTTGTGTATCATCATAAAAACGTACTGCTTTGTTTTCTACATTTGATAAATCATACAATGTAAAATCATATTTTTCATTGACTATTACATTTTCTACTGTTACATTTTCGTTATTTTGTTTACATTCATTTTCCATATTATTTTCCTTATTGGGACATGGCACCATAGATATTTTCTTCAAATGTTCGTCATCATTATTCAATACTGGATCTCTTATTGAAGCATTAAATTCTTCTTTTACAACAATTTCGTTTTGAAGCTGTAAATCTTTTAATTGACATTTCAAATCTTCAATATTATCAACACAATTCTCATATGTTTCTTCTTCGCTATCCTCACTGTCTTCATTGTCTTTTTCTTCTTTATAATCAATACCATTTTCTGTTAAAAAAGTATCAATTTCTTTTTCTATTTGCCTTGCAAAGCCACTGGCTTTGACTTCAGCATCTATACTGTCTTCACGTCTAAAATGAATAAAACATTAATTTGCTAATTCAATACAAAATAATAATTAAGATATAATGTATTTTTCAATTACGATATATCTTGAAAAGTTGGATATAATTCGCTCTCATATCCAAATCGTCTCTTAAAGAAATCACGGATACAATTCACATCTCTTTCAAAATACGCTTCTGCATTCTCGTGTTCTGTAGAAACCATCTGAGGAAAATCAATGATAACAGGTTTGCCATCATCTTTGATCATTATGTTAAATTCATTGAAATCTCCATGTATAACACCATGATTCGCCAGTCTAACAATCAAATCCATGAGCTCGTCGTACAATGCTTCAACATTGTCTACTTCATTTATATTACACCTAAATAGGATAATATAAATAAGGTATTATATAAGTTTTTTAGGCTTCTATGGATACTTTCTTTACAGAAGCTATGCATTATTAAAGTTAATGCCAATATTTTGACACTACAGTATTAGATTGCTCCTTGCCTTGATGAAGCAAATTGCAATATTCATGAATGATATTTTAATAATGGATCTTGACACAGGATAATCGATGAAATGTACAGCTTCTATATAGAAAACATTATATATAATCAAATAAGATTTAATCAATAATCAAATATTAGTAAACATACAGAGGTCCACCTTCAACCAGCTCCATGACAACGCAATGCCTATTAAAATCAATTGGTTTTGGCACAGGAAAACCTCTATCCAGAAGTGCTTTCATATATGCAAACTCTCTAGTTGCAGAGATTCTTGACAAATATAACCAAGATGCAGAATGTCTATGCTGATGATAATCTCTTTTTCCTTTAATGTTTCGAAAGCATGTTCTACCCAATCTGTGTAACTTTAGACAAAACGAAGTCTCTTCTTCATTGGCAACAACATAAATGTTAGATTCCTTGCCAACACCAATCTGATTACCAAAAGAACGGATTGTTTCTCTTTGCGTTAAAACTTTTAAGGCTAAATAATCATAGCCAGCATTTGTCAAACGATAACCATCATCTAAAAATTTATTATGTTTCAGATATATTCTTAATAAATAGAATTTATGATCACATGTAAATTTCAATGCCTTACATCGTTTGCCTCGTTCGTAACTGAGCAATTTATGCTTGCACATTTCTTTTAGTAATTTATGAACTCCACCGTAACGTAGATTTGCTATTTGTGTGGCAAGTAGTGCGGGTACGAGTTCATGATTTTTCATACCCATTTCAATCTAAAATATGAAAAATTAATAATTATTACAATTAAAAAAAAGAAGACATATATAGATATACAGATGTACAGATTCTATAAAAATTTATTTTTTAATAATCATACATATATTTTTGTACGAATATACAAGAAAATACAAATTAAAAAATTCATACCGCTGTTAGAACACGAAAATCTTCCGGGGTTAAATATCGTAATATTTTAACGTCCAACTTTCCCATATTAGATCGCAGATAATTAGAGGATTTATATAACGCAAATTCGGTTTTTTCTTAAAATATCTTATAACTTTTTAACTTATTTCTATCTTCATGGATCGTCATACACGTGTAACCTTTAACCTAAAATTATCAGTGCTACCACATGCTCAGTTGTTCAATAACATTTTCCACTGAGAAAACTGATGCAACATCAGCGCCGTACTAGGTTTTATCTGATTGACATATTCTGTTAGATCCTAAAATATACACCAATGGCTGCGTTCAGCAGAACGTTTATTTTGCAACTGTTGGAAGTTTTCTTCGCACTGATTGGATTATGCTTTTAGATTAAGAGGAATGGTTCTATCTCAACAGAGAATCATAAAATGGTTGCAAAACTGTTGTTCTGCTGAACGCAATCAATCAGATGAAAAAAGAGCGCTCAATGAACGGTTACGTATGGTGGAATGATTCCACCAGAGAAAAACCTGAGAGAGTCCATGCTGATTTTTTTCCTCTTATCGTCAAAATCATCCATACACTACTGCCCTCCTATGGATAGTCGGCACGCTTCTGTCCTGAGGATTTAGTATAACGACGAACCACTTCTACTTCCGACGATACAATTTTATCGATAGTGTCAGAAAATGTATGCAGTCACGTAGTTCCCAAACTGAAAATGAATGTACTGGCAGTAGTGTACGGTGATTTCGACTGTAACAGGAAAAAGACCGGCATAGCCTCTCTCAGATTTCTTTCTGGTTTCACCATGGATGCATCTAATTGATCAGCTTTCTTTGCTGAACGCAAAATTCATGTCTATTCATAATGACGTATAATGACGTAGTGTCAGCAATGTAAGCAACGATATAAAGCCGGCCATTGAAAAAACAGACCATTTGAAGTGATGAAGTTTATTTCTCAGTAGTTTGTTTCGTCAATAACTATGAATTTTCAAAAAATTTTACATTTTTTTTATGTTATTTATCTCAATATAATTTATTGCTATTACAAATTTACAATGGTGGACTATAATAAGAAGGAAGATGATAAAACAACGACGCTGATAGGATCGGCCTGTAAACAGACTACAAAGTGTTCAAGCTTATGCTTTTGTCATAACTTTGTTCAAGAATTACTCCAGAATGACTATGAAAAATTCTTTGGAGCATACAGAATGTGGCCTGAGCAGTTTGATTTGCTAGTAAATTTGCTTCATCCTCATTTTAAGAAGAACATCTTAAAACCTTCTCTTCCTACAGAGCTACGTCTAGCTGTCACTTTGTTGTAAATAAATTAACTGTACTTTAATTTTATTTTACCATTTTCTTTGAAGTAATCTTATTATGATTATTGCAGATACTTATCCCAGGGTGATAACGCTAAGTTAAAACACGCAGAATTTGGGATAGGCAAGTCAACTGTTCATAAAATAGTGAATGAAACTTGTTGGGCGATTTGGACAACTTTACAACCAATTGTTTTAAAACCTCCTAGTAAAGAAGATTGGATAGCCATCAGTGAAGATTTCATGAAAAAGTGGCAATTTCCAAACTGTCTAGGAGCATTAGATGGACGTTATATGACAATTCAAGCTCCACCCAATTCTGGATCAGCATTCTACAATTATAAACAATGGCTGCGTTCAGCAGAAAAACCGTGAGTACTCAATGATTTTTTAATGATTGGTTCTTGCCTTTAATTCTTCAATGAATCTAAGTGCAGGAATTAATAGTATTAAAAAATCACTGTGCAGTTATTGATTAACTTTTTTTGTTGCAGTCAATTTTTCAATATGATATTACTTGCCGTTTGCGATGCAACATATAAGTTTACATGGGTCAATATTGAGCAACGTGGTGGGTATATTTATTTATCCTTTAATTTTATTATCTGTAATTGTCACGATTCATTTCCAGGTTCTATAAGTGATGATGGAGTATGGGCAAATACTAAACTTGCAAGTTCTCTGGCTGCAGGTGATTTACTCTTACCAGATCCTACTCTATTTCCAGAGACAAATACTCCTTTTCCCTTTGTTTTTATTGGTGATGAAGCTTTCCCTCTATCGACGCATATGATGCGGCCCTATCCTCGCGAAAAGCTGACTGATGATATGAGGATCTTTAATTATCGCTTATTACGTGTACGACGCACAATAGAGAATGCTTTTGGAATTTTGACTGCGCGATGGCGTATCTTACACAAACCTCTTTACATGTCAATAACCAACTGCGAAAATGTATTGAAAGCCCTCGTCTGCCTACACAATTTTATTATGCTTGGGGAAGAACATGAGTCTATAAACAATCGTCAGTATTGTACAACAGATTTAATTGATATCGAGAAACAAGATGGTGGGATTAGGGAAGGACAATGGAGACAGCACTTTTCCCCACATTTTATTGAACTAGGCCGAATGGATGCTAATCATTCTATAGCGGATGCAGATTCTATAGCGAAGGAAATGAGAAATACTCTTAAAGAATATTTTATCTCTTCAACTAATAAAACTCAAGCTCTATGGCAATACTAATATACATTCACGGGAGCTATTATCAATTCTAAGTATATAGTTTCTAAGTTTACAAAATTGTAACTCTGATAAATTATTACTCTGCGTTTTTATATTGTCTAGTCAGTTAGTATTTTTCTTGTATTTTATTATACATATACATCTTCATTTTTACTTTTTTACTATGATAACTTAAAACTTATTTTAATCCTAATCTGTAAATTTTATTTTTTTATATTGACTCATTATTAATGTTATTTTTATAATCTTTTGATTATATTCTTTATACATTTAATTAATTTTTTCTGCGATTCTGTTTACAATACCGATAATGAGTTACTTTCATTTTTAAATTTTAAGATATAGTTTACGCTTATAGACATTTATTTATTATTTATTTATTATTTATTTATTATTATGTATAATTAATTATTAGTATCAGACTTGATCTTCCAATTGTTTGTGAATGATGTATTTATAATCTTCTGGAAGTGACTCTCAATGGCCAAAGAATGACAAATTTATATGTATAACTCGGTATATCTCTTCTATGCTCCCAAGAAGGCATAAATATGAGCAACATGTATAAAGTAAACTTGTATAGTTTAATTAAATGTATTAAATATACTATTTAATTAAATGTATTAAATTATTAATGTACTATTTAAAATTAATTAATTAATTAAATTATTAATTATCTCTATGTATATCAATTCCCATGCTTGATTCCTATTTTATGTCCTTTATTTTACTATTTTAATTATAAGAAAACCTTATTTTTTCTGATTTCTAAGTTTATTATACAGGAAGTGTTAAGACCATTAGTAACAGACTTTAAACGATCGATTTTATCAAAATAACTTTTATTAAGGAACTTGTGTTCTTTGATTTTAAGCTTGTGTCATATTCTACGCATTGAAAATTGAGGATTATAAACTAAAGATTATAATTCATATACTTAGAACGGATTAAAATTAAAATTATCTGACTAGTTAAATTTTAATCTCTAGTTTGCAATCTTCAATTACGTCACACGTAACTACCTATTAAAATCCGATGTCCACAATGTTAGAAATCGATCCAAGATCTCTGACAGAGAAAAAATTAACAAATTTGAATAATTTGATCATTGCGATTAATTAATTCTTTCTTCATTTGAGGTCTTGGACTGATTTCTAGTGGACAAAGCTTAATAAGTCCGGATTTAGCGGATTTTAACTGTTTTAAGTTTTAAACCGTAAGAAATTGACCAACTACAGTCGAATGCGAGGAGAATAATTGATTGTGATTCGTTCATTCCTTATGGCTTAAGGTTTAAAAATTTATTGTAGAAACCGATTAAGGCCCGCATTGCACCAACGTTACTTTGACTTTAAGTGAAACTTAAAACTCTCTGTCTCATTTTAAAGCGAAAAAGAGACAGACAAATGCTTGTAAAGAAAGATTTCTTTCGTACTTCTAGGACATATTATATATGTCCCACTTATAAACAAATTATAACTTTTGAACAAATAATCCTATCGACTTTTACTTTGACTTGTTTCAAAGAAGAAGGTTTCAAATCTGGCTAACAAGATCTGCAAATAATTTATCGCGAAAAATATTTATTCATAAAATAAACCAATCAAAGTCCTTCCTTTCCATAAAATAAAAGACTCTGATTGATTTTCTTATGTTTCATGCATTTATATGTTGTACCAAAATTTGTGCTCCAGCTTTAACGCTGTATGTAAATGCTTCATTGACCAATCAGAAAAAAGAATTTTACGGATTGACCAATCAAAGCATACTTCAAAGCGTCTGCGGCGTGAAGTAGATAGCACACCGAGTTGTCGATTCGACAGAAGTTGCTGACGCTCGAAAGAGTCGATTAATCGGCCGATCGTCATCCTCGAGGCTCGACATTACTCGACGGCAGTGAAGGGAAAAAAAAACCCAAACACAAATCGGTGCGTTGAACCCTCGCGCGTAATGTTGAGCTGTTACGAGTTCCTACGAGCAGTGTGATAATTGTGTGTAATGCGTATGCGTGCGTGTGTCAGACAGTGCGTGTCAAAATTATGAAAACGCGTTCGCGCGTCGCCGATGTAATGAAGTGCTGAGTCCATCCAATTTGGTTTATTCGACCGTTTTCGCAGGCAATGGGCAGAACCGGCGCGTTCGCGATTATCACGCACGTCTGAAAATTCAACCTCAGGTCCCGGCACGCAGGTACGTCCGGAGTGCCAACGGTCAAAGAGCAGTTTCGTATATAATTCCGCCTGATTCCGCTTCATTCCATTTGATTCTCGAGACCGTGCTCCCCCGCAAAATACGCTACAAATTATTTACGAAACAGAGTGCGATATCAGCAAGGTTATACAAGATACGAGTGTGTACCGCGTTATCGCCGATAACCGTCAAACGAGACGTACTTATTTCCTCCTTCCCACGACTTCCACCCGTGGAATTCTATGAGAATTTACAGAATGTGACGTTCATTTGATTATGCTAATACAGCGGTGATGTTTGGACTTTGCGATCGGTATTTTAAGTCATGATTAAGCGGAATTTCCAAGCACGTCTACATTTACTTGCAAAAATTCGAGGTCATTCGACACACCTTGGTTTTCCTTATCGCAAGCGTCGGCTATCTGTTCAAGGGTCGCATTGTGAGTCATGTTGTGTGAACTAATTTTAATTTTGCAATTCTTCGAGTCACATATCTCTAGTGGCAATTCAGCCGATCATACGATCCGATGTATGTACGTGCGGCAATGTTGCGTATGTATGCGTGTATGCATTGACGCGTGTTGTGTGACGATTGAAGGCCGGATTAATTTTGCTGCGAAGTTTGAAAATAATATTCTCGTTATTTACTGAACATGACTGGGTAATTTAGGTTAATGAGAACTGTCACCATTACGAAACGCGATCTCTGAAATTCCACGGCAGTTGCATAGCAAGTGATATATTTACATTTTATATAAAACGAGAAAATTATCGTTCTTTCAGTTGTGCATGATCATACATTATTTATGCTTTCCAGGGAGGAACTTTCCTTAGGCTAAGACATGTGAAAACTAAACTTTTTGTATGTGTGTGTGTTCATGTACATGCATATACCTATACATAATTTTCACTTTTCACTTTTACACTCAAGAGAAAAAGTTACATGATTGCAACCTAGCAAGAGATACAATATAACACAGTAAATTATATTATATCCTTGTTGTTTATGAATATTAAACTGTTTTTAGTGAAAAAAAAGGAGTTGCTTTGGGATCAAGCCCATCCTGTCAGTATATTATAATACATATTTAAACTTACATTGAAGTTGAATTTATAATTAGTGGTAAATGTAGGATAGATTTATAATAGTAAACAACATGGTACCACTTAAAATTAAAATGCAATGGAATATTCTAAACTGAGATAAAAAATATTAAGCTGAATCTATCTTAATTTATCAATATTCTATATATTGATATATTAAGATAGATTCTGCAGCTTAATATTTCTCTATATAGCTAGATAAATTTTTATTGGAGATAACTTATAATTCATACTGTTATTCATACTGTAACTTGAAACTACTCCAAGAAATTTCATCATTATGTGAAGCATTAAACAATGTTAAACAAAGATGAAGTGATTTATTGTGCCATCTGTGTATCTTGTTGGAAAGCACCTAATGTTCTAAATTTCCTAGAATTAGCGATGTTACTTAATTATTAATTATTAAATATTTTTTTATAATTTGCAGGAATAATGTTGAACAGTATAACAAAACACATTTTGCACTGCTGTCTGCTACTTGTGGTCATATTAGTATTTGAATTTGTATCTGGAGGCCTTCGATGGAATACGGATAAGAAGGAAGAAATTGATCCATGGACAAGATATGGCATTATCGGTGCAATTACTTTGTACCTGTTACGCACAGTGACGTTTCTTTCCTTGCCACAAGTGTTATTCAATTTTATAGGATTAACAATATACAATGCATTCCCTGATAAAGTAATCTTGAAAGGCTCACCTCTGCTTGCACCATTTATCTGTATAAGAATAGTAACTCGTGGGGATTATCCGCAATTAGTAAAGACGAATGTGAAGAGAAATTTAGATAAATGTGTAGAGGCTGGTCTCGAAAACTTCCAAATAGAAGTAGTGAGCGATAAGTCAATAGGATTAACGCCGCATCGCAGAGTGCGAGAAGTTGTCGTTCCACCGAAATATCGCACAAGTAGTGGTGCCTTATTTAAGGCTCGTGCTTTACAATACTGCCTCGAAAGCTCGGTAAATGAATTGGCTGATCACGACTGGATTGTTCATCTCGATGAAGAGACTCTGATGACTGAAAATTCTGTTCGCGGCATATTGAACTTTGTATTAGATGGCAAACATCAATTTGGTCAAGGGTTGATTACGTATGCTAATGAGGATGTTGTTAATTGGATTACGACCTTGGCCGATAGCTTTAGAGTAGCAGACGATATGGGAAAGCTAAGATTACAGTTCACTATGTTTCACAAGCCATTTTTTAGCATGAAAGGGTCTTATGTTATCACACAGGTAATTACTGATAATTTCTAATCATGACAAATTTATAAATTGTAGAAGATGGTACATCATCTTTCCTTACACACACGTTGCTTTTATCTTAATTATATATAATAAAAATGCAAATATATATATATATATATATATATATATATATCATCACTTAACATATTAAAGTAGTGACATATTTACAGATACGTCTATTTTGTTTTTTGTTATTTTTATGTTAGGTTTTTCTATGAATATGTATTTCAGATGGGAGCAGAAAAACATGTTTCATTTAATAATGGATTAGACGGATCCGTTGCAGAAGATTGTTTCTTCGCAATGAAGGCATTTTCCCAGGGATATTCGTTCAATTTTGTGGATGGCGAAATGTGGGAAAAATCGCCGTTTTCTCTGTGGGACTTTGTACAGCAGAGAAAAAGATGGCTGCAAGGTATATTACTTGTTGTGCATTCCAAAGCGATTCCATTGAGAAAGAAATTGTTGCTGGCTATTTCGTGTTACTCGTGGGTAACGATGCCTCTTTCTACTTCTAACATTGTTTTGGCCGGATTGTGTCCGATCACTTGCCCGCCGTTGATCGATTTTCTTTGCGCGTTTATCGGTGCAGTAAATATCTACATGTATGTGTTTGGAGTAGTTAAATCGTTCTCCTTATATCGTTTTGGTGTTGCTCGATTTATGCTATGTATATGCGGTGCATTATCCACTATTCCATTCAATATAATTATTGAGAATGTTGCCGTGATATGGGGTTTGTTTGGTAAGAAACACAAATTCTATGTCGTTAACAAGGAGCACAGGCCACCATTGACCGTATGATGCGTCATCAGTTTAGAACTATTATCTAACTGGTATATACTTAGCAACAGAGTAATGTTTCCATTGTGCATGTGCATAATTAGTACCTGTAAATTTACATTTAGGAAAACTATCACTGTCATAAATAAAATATTTATAACTAGTATTACATGAGAATTACAAGATTCCTAAGACAAATTGATTAATCAATTTCAAAACAGACATAAATAAAATGTGTAATGTATACAACAAGAGGTAGATGCAGTATTAGAAACGTATTTTACATTGGCATTAAAACATTGCCAATTTTGTTAAAAGTATTAATATGTCAAAAATATATTTATGTCAATATCATATTCTCATAGTGCAAATTATACAGGTCATATATACTTTGATCTCATAAATGTCGTATGAATGAGTAGCATTCGTTAAGTTACATACATATCATTTTACATGTTCCTTTGCATGCATCAATTTTCTTATCGTATTCAGATTGTTTTATTTTTGCCATATCATATTAGTTTCTTCTTAATATTCACTTAATATTTCACGAAGTCTTACATACTTGTATACAATAATTTTATATTAATAACGATGTCCAAAATGTTTACTTCAAACATTTTCTATTTTTTTTTAAATAGTAGTGTCATTTAAATGCATAATTCGGGAAACTGTGATAAATTTTGCTTTTCTATAAAAAATTAAAATTTTTGATTATAAATTTGATACAAAAATACATTTAAAAATTATGTCTAAAGCGCCGCAAAATATTCATTATCTTGATATCGAGGTATACATATACAATAGTTTTGTTATTTTGAATCTTACATGTTTTTAATTAATGACAAAGCATAACAGTATATTTATATTATCAATATAATTGATATAAATATATATTGTACTTAATAAGATTAATTGTTTTACAAAATATGAAAATCCTTAAAAAATATAACATGTATTACATGTTACGATTCTTGATAAAATGGAAATATTGTGGGAAAGGTATAAATTTTAATAGAAAGACAAATATAAAAATCCAAATTAATTTTGTGATATCTATTAAATTAAATGTTAATTATTAGATTGCCATATTTTTAAAATTTTTAATAAGGCGATATTCATAATTGCTTTCATATTTAAAATCTTATATTTAAAATTAAGAAGTCACCAACCCATTACAGGATCATACTAACATCTTAGGATATTAACATAAAACGATTAAAATACTAACGGACTATGAATACTGATCGTATTCTTTAAAAGAAAATGTGAATCCAATGTTAAATTTTTTAAGTAATGTGATTTTGTTATGCACTGCATAAAGTTTTACTTCTTATGCACATAAAAGGAATTGCGTGTGAAAAAATACACACACACATACACACACACCAAAATATTATAGTAAATAAGTTCTAAAAAAAAATAAATTATATTTACTATTTTTTAAAATAATTGTCTGTCCGTGAGTCGCACATCGACAATGTTAGTGATCGCGCGTGGTGACTCACGGATAGCTGTTTAATCGTAATCTGTAATTAGTCAGTTTTAAACTTTCTATTTTTAGAATTACGACTCGGAATGAAAAATGGCAAATATTTTTTAACTTATTTTTTTCTATAACTTTCTTGCTATACTATTTTGATTCGTGAATTTCAAAACACTCTATGTATATAATATAATCATTTTGTTACAATTATATGTACATGTTTATGAAACATTTTGTATCATATTTATATTAATTCATCTTTTAAATAATTTTTTAAATGGCTTTTTAACTTACTTAATTTATTAAACAAATTAAGGCTTCCTAAAATTTTGTACGTTAATATAAATCATATAATGTTCATTTTTCAGAACTCTTTAAATACATTTAGTAAGACTTACAATATCTAGTCAAGAAAATGTAAAGCACGTGAAATTTCCTTCAGAATGCATGTATAAATAATTAAAATAAATTTTTATTAGCACTATTTAGTGCGGTGAGATATTATTTTTAAATATTGTGTTCAAATGAAAAAAGAATGATGCTTCTGCAGATATTTTAAAGAGTTTTTTCACTTTTTACTAATTAAATTTTAATGAAATTTTACACACATGTATAGATTAATATTAGTTGATTAATGCGATTTAAAATTGCTGTGTTCGACACTTAGAGATGTGTTTAATTTAATTGTGCTAATGAGTAATTAACATTATAATATTAATATTATGAACAGGGCCGTCGCTAACATATAAGGCGCCTTTGTGCAAAGGGAATTTTACGGTTCCTCTTAATATTTTTATTTATCAATCTTTTAAATAAACTTTTTTTTAAATAACTTTATAATATTTTTAGAAAAAACGCAATTTTTTTATATTTTTATTCTAGGATATTGTAACTTTTTTTAGAGCGGAATTATAAAAATGAAAGTTAACTATGAAAGTTAACTATGAAAGTTATTGTTTAAAGAGCAATTTTCCATTTTTCACATTTTCGCTCTAGGGAAAATGTTTACATGATCAATATCCTAGTGCTAAAATAACTCTGTATGTACTGAAAAATTTTAATAGCGTTGCGATTTTTTAAAAGAAATTAAATCTGACAGAAGCGAGCACATGCAATTGCAGTTACAGGAATAGAAAATTGATTTTTTAAATTTAATTAGCATCCTCCTCTCTTATGAATGCGCATTTGTTTGCGGCGCCCTAATTGCAAAGGTCATTACAACTTATATAATAATATTATGTATGGTACATTCTCCATGTAATTATCTTTTGTTATAATAGAATATATTATTTGATAATGTAGTAACTATTATTACATATAATATTATATAATCATAGATTCATGTATTGCATTGCGCTATGTAGGTTGTGTGTATTCACACATATACAAAGTATGTTTTTTAAGTATTTTATTTTGTTGTGTCAGTGAATAATGAAGTCGCACACTAGTCTCGTATCTCAGCCATTTATTTCATTATCCTAACAGCGATATCAGTTTATAAATTGAAAATAATAATAAATATTGCACACTAAAGCGTAAAATCTATATCAATTCGAGAAATAAATATCAAGATTTCTCAAACTCGATGAATCTATTCTTTTTTTATCAATATCTTTTTTTATTCTTAAATATTATTCCGAAAGACTGTGACAAATGTAAAAAAGAAATTTGCAAATTTGTAAAATAGTTTTGAAGTTGGTTAAAAATATTTAACTTATATTTCATCTTGGTGTAAAAAATTCATGTCTATCATCATCTATCTTGCTGCAATTGAGTTTGAGAATCTCTGAATCACGTCTGAATCAAATGTGGATTAAATTGAATGAAACAACGATATGTCTTTTTTGTTATGCAAAGAATAATAAGAACAATTTGTATCACGTAAACAACAATATAACTGTATTTAGTATTATTCTATGTAATCTTATGTATTATTATCTTTTATGTAAACTGTCAACTTGTCTTTTATTAGATACGATTTTATTTTTGTCACACACATATACATATATGTAATAATTAATCAATGCATCTTAAGAGACCAGTGATTAAACCAGTGATTGAATTATGTTACATAACATTTTTCATATCATGTAACGTATTATATTAGATAAAGAAATTTGTAGTTATCAAAATCATAATGAAATTCTGAATTGTTATGATAATTGCAATTGACTATAATAAGAATAATATTAAGAATCTTAGATAATACATGATTAAAAAAATAAAAAAGAAAATTTGAAGTAAAAATTACTTCACAGTAAATATCTATCTTTTTCATTCTCAAGTTTATAAAACTCCATTTATAATCTTCCTCGTTATCCCGTCCACATTTAGTATCTTAAATTCTCGATCTAAATCTTTTTTTCTTTCTTATTTTTTATTTCTTATAACTACAATTTGTATCCATTGAAGCAACGTATTTCAGAATAGCACATTAAACAAATATAGCGTATTTATACAATGATGAATTTGATATATTTATTACTTAATTGTAATAACAACAAAGTACAGAATATTTTTATATAAAAAAATTTTGAAAAATGAAATATTTTTCAGTAATATTATTATAATATATTATTAACGATACAACAAAATGTTATCGCTTCTTATATACACATGATTTCAATGTAATTGCAGGAAGATTTTTTCTTTTCATGCTTATATCTTCGTTTTTCTTAAAATCCATAAAATAAAACAAGTTATGAGACAAGTCTTTCCATGTATTTTTAAAACCATAATGATGTAGTAGTCTTATAAAATCTTTTACATCATCGAATCTGCTTTCGACTTCGGCTATTTTCAAGATCCCACTAAATTGATTGAAATAAAAATAATTAATTTCTTACTGCCATATCAATCAAGAATACCATTACTACTTACTTATTTTTAAGAACCCTGTTAGCTTCTATTATATAATCATTAAGATTAGATCCCATTAACGAAAGACAAAACACGACAACGTGAACGCTGTTCATTAATAATGGAGTATGAGCCATATCACAAGCTTTCACTTTGTCATTTAGAGCAATGAAATCAAATGAATGTACTGTATGAGGAACAGAAGCTGCGAGTCGGGCTTCACCACATCCAAAATCAGCGATTACATTGTCCGTTGGTCTGCAATTATTAAGACATTATTAGACATTCATACTTGCATAAATTTCATTTAAGATTAAGAGATAATATACAATTTTTTAATTGATGATATTATAACATCCAGTGGATTTATCGGCCATTGTTCAGTTTGCTGTTTATATCCTGCATGATAAGCTATAAAACTATCATGATCTTTTTGAAAATAATGTTTAGATTGTAAACTGTCATTGTTGTATAATGTCTCATTTATAAACCTGAATCTGGATGCTCTTAACTGCATTTGCATTCTATCTCTTAAAGTAGGTTTTTTATCTCTTAGAGTAGATTGTGCAACTTTCGTTACTTGCGACTTATTTTCGAGCATATTTTTTAAATATTTGATATTTATTTTATGTTTGTCCAACTTTAATATATCAGATTGTATCTGCTGTGTTTCTACTTTAGTTGACATTTGTTTCATATTCTCTTCATTGTTCCCTTCAATTAATTTTCTCATCATAAACTTAAGATTTTTTACCTCCATTTGTAACTTTTTAAGCTTTTCTTCTTTTTTTTTAATACTTTTGCTTCCATTATCTTCTGAAGAATCGTCTTCATCGTCTTCAATGTCTTCATCATTATCTCTTACAGTATCCTTATTTGTATGATTAAGATTCATGTCCTGTTTTCGTTTTTTATTTTCCTCATATTTTATTTTAATATTTGAATTATTTTGTACTTTTTGAGACACTTTTGATATTTTTTTCTTATCATCCTTTGGATATTTCGTTGGAGCATCTGAGTTTTCCGTATATTTTTCATCAAGTTTATTTTTAGAATCACGTTTTTTTCTTTTACTATTTTGCATATTTGCAAACATATCTTTTGCTATTCCATTAGATACACTTAATTTCTTTAAATTATTTTTATTATGCTTTGGATATTTTGTCACAGCATCTGAGTTTTTTGTATATTTTGTTGCATTAAGTTCATTTTTAGAATCCTGTAGTTTTTTCTTTTTACTTTTTTGCATATTTGTAAATACATCCTTCGCTATTTCATTAGATGTACTTAGTTTCTTTATATTTTTATTATCCTTTGGATATTTGGTTAGACTTGAATTTTCTGTATAGTTTGCGTTAAGTTTATTTTTAGAATCGTGTGATTTTTTCCTTTTATTACTTTGCATATTTGTAAATGTATTTTTGGCTATTGCGTTAGCTGTATTTAGTTTCTTTAAGTTATTTTCATTATCTTTTGGATATTTTGTTGGGGCATCTAAATTTTTTGTGTATTTTGCATGAAGTTTATTCTTAAAACTACGCGATTTTTTCCTTTTACTATTTTGCGTATTTGTAAATATATTCTTTGCTATTTCATTGGATGCACTTAGTTTCTTTAAATTATTTTTATTTATATTATTCAATAATTGTATATTAGCTTTCTTTTTTCTTCGACTTCTTCGTTTCTAAAATAAAATTTAAAAAGGATCTTGTTTACATTATAAATTCAAAATGTAAGTAAAGGAACTAAACATTTATTAAACATCACATTATATTTAAGAACTCGATTACCTTCACGATGGACGTTTTTGTACTTGGTACAGCAGGCATTTGTACGTCCTGCAGAGTTTTTTTTAATTTTGCCATTATTTTGTCAAGTTAAAAAAATCAGAATTGTTTATCGTAAACTATTTGCTAAATATTCCAGAGAAAAGAATTACAACACGTGTTACTACTTTCTGACGATTAGACGCCGTCTGAGAGGCGAGAATATCAATCATTCCGATCAGAGTCAATTTGCCAACCGATGCTAGTGTCAATTATTGGACACTAGCATCCCTGAATTACCTAAATATAGAAAGCATTATTATTATACATTCTCTTCTCTACTGTCGATAAAAGCTTTAATAGAAATCCATATAATATAGCTACAGTTTCTAACAATTAATAAATATTAATTAGAAAAGTAGTGAAATCTCTTCGCATTATTTGTGAAGACTATAGCAAATCGACAATTTGAAAACTGCAAAAATAATAAAAAAAACTAATGAAAGTTATCTTATGATAGACGATAACTTACCAGTTATTTAATACATATAAATAGTTTTGGCCTTTAAGTTCAGAGGTGCTAGTGTCTAATTTTCAATATGGCGACGCCCGTATAATGGATCACGTTTTGTCTGTGCTCTTAATACAGTATCTATTCAAGAAAGCAGTGGTCCAAGTATTTTTCTCCTTTTAAATACTGTCCTGGCCGAATCAGCTCTGATCCAAAGGGGTTATTTTATACTGAAGAAGATCACACTTGAAATGTAACAATTTTTCGAGCAATGCAAACAGACAAGTATTATATATCAGAACAAGTATCCTGTCTAACCACAGTTTCTTCGTGAAACTATTAGAATTAAGAATTCTCACAGTGTTCGTAACAATTGCCTAAATCTTAACAATTTATTGATCAATACGCCAGTGAATTATTGAATACAAAACTATGAATACGAAAATGTGTAAGAAGGACGTTCTACAAGCCGTTATTCTTGCGGATGATTTCACAACAAGATTAAATCCAGCGCAAAATATATTTCCAAGCATTCTAATGCCCGTGATAAATATACCACTTTTTGATTACATGATAGAAACACTAATAAAGTCGAAGATACAAGAGGTATTCCTTTATTGCAGCAGTCACATAGATCAACTGAAAAAATATACCGATGAAAGGGTTTATAAAGACATTACAATCTCTTTGATTATTTCCGATGGCTGCAGATCACTTGGAGATGCTTTGCGAGATATTGATACAAAAGGATGGATCAGAGGATACTTCATACTGATTCGTGGGAACACCTTTACCAATACAAATCTTAAAACTTTATTCAATATTCATCGTATGAAAGCCGAGAAGGATAAGGGAGCAACTATGACTATGGTATTACGGAACTGTGGTTCAATGAAGGATTCTTATCTCAATGAGGAAGCGTCTCTAGTTGTGTCAGATAAAAGCACTAATAAAATTTTGTATTACACTAAATTGAAGAATAGTGAGAAAAAAGTAAAGCTGGAATTAAACTGGTTTCTTGATCATAATGAAGTAGAAATTAATTCTTGTTACTTGGATACTCATATCTACTTGTGTTCACCATCTGTTTTACCACTCTTTGCTGATAACTTTGACTTTCAAGTAAGTAAAACAAATTGAATTGCTTTTTGTTTAAAATATCAGTAGAATTATCTTATAATATTAACATAATTATATTCAATTACATAATTATATTTAATTACATAATAAAGAAACAAATATAATTTATACTATTCTTATGTTTTTAGACTATGAATGATTTTATTCGCGGAGTATTGATGAATGAGGAGATTTTGGACTCGAGGATTTATTGGCAGCAGTTAAATACAGAGGATTATGCTCTGCCAATTACCTCGTGGAAGGCTCATCATATACTTACTCAGGATGTTTTGCGTAGACATAGTTTTCCTCTTGCACCAGATGCTGTGCCATTATTGAAAAACTTTATATGTATGCCGCGGAGTACGTATAAACACGAAACTGCTACTTTTGCTAAAGGTTGTGTATTAGAAAAAGACTGTATTCTTGGATCTAATAGTTCGTTAGGAAATAAAACTAAAGTCGCGAGATCTGTGATCGCAGACAACTGCATCATAGGTAGTAACGTTAATATAGATAATTCTTACGTTTTTTCAAACGTTAGAATCAAAGACAATTGTACTATTAAAAGTAGTATCTTATTTCCGAATTGTATTGTTAGATATCGTAGCCAAATAGATGGATGTATATTGTGTTCTGGAGTTGACATTGCTGCTCGTAGTCAATATGTGGATACCATTATCGAATCTACATCTTCTGGTATATCTGAGATCAAAATGTCGGATCTCGAGGTTGAGGATGGATTTTTGTATTTTAAAAATGCTGAAGTAATTGATTGTGACTGCTCCTCAGAATCGTCTAGTAATGAAGAAGTTCTGGAATGTGATTCTCAAATTCCAGACGACACGAATATGTTCTTGTCCGAAGTTATCGATAGTCTATTACGTGGTTATCAGGATAAGCTCAATTGCGAGAATTTAATTCTAGAAATAAACTCGTCCAGGTATGCGTACAACGTTACCATCCGCGAGGTGACATATAACGTCATCAAAGCGATTCTCAGTCTGCCATTACACTATCTTTCCGAAACGAAAACTGTCGTTACTAATCAGAATTATCAAAAGAATCTAAAAATTATGATAACTTATTTTAACACTATTATTCAGAATTACATTAAGAATGAAAACGCGCAGGACGACTGTTTGCGAGCTATAGAAGACGTTGTTAATACAACCGACGAATTACTACCGTACGCGCAACACCTGTTGCATCAATTTTACGATCGCGATATACTATCTGAAGAAAAGATTTTAGAATGGTATGAATCTACTGACGAAAATGCGGACACACATCATACAAAATTAAAGAATGCTGTTCAGCCATTCATTAAATGGCTGCGAGAAGCAGAAGAAGATTCTTCTGGGAGTGATAATTAATTTTTTTCTATTAAAAAATTTTTACTTAAGATAAAATATGTTTCTATAAATGTAAGAGGAAATA